ATTTCCCAGCCCGTAGAAATGCGGGCCATTTTGGCCCGCCCCGTTTGAACCGCGGGCCAGTGCGGGCCGGAGCGGGCCGGGCCGGACCGGCCCGTTTGACACTGCTACTTATACAGAAAAATTATATCTTTATGTGAAATTATGCATGTTAATTTAAAAATATATAATTGTCTAAAGTGATAAAAAGAGTTTCCAAACTCTTCAAAAGCAAGAGCAATCCTTTACGTACGGAACATTTGTTGCCCTAAATTTCTCTACTTTTCATGGACATACACAAAAAAGATGCATCAACAATTTTAGTCACAGCCCGCAAGTTATGATGGCTATAAAATGGGAAAAATTAGTGATGCTAATTGAACAATAACGGCCAATTTACATACATACGTGTCAGATTGTTAAATAATTATAAATCTACTACATTAAAATTTAATTTGCACAAGTACGAAACTAGTTTATGTAAACAAGTCACGTTTTTTTCTCTTTCCTCTCCCTTTAAACACGACACGTTGGTTTCTTTCTTTTTTCTCTCTTTAAACACGGAACAATTTTTTTCTCTTTCCTCTCTCTTTAATATTTTTTCTTCTTCCCCTATTTCTTCCCCCGTTTCTTTTTCTCTTTCCTCTCTCTTTAATTTTTTTCTTCCTCCCCGATTTTTTCTCCATTTCTTTTCACGGGGTTCGGCCCCAGCAGCGACGACGGTTCGCCTCTTGATTGGGAAAATCGAGCCCTAATCTCACCGGATAAAGGAGAACCAAAACGCATCATGTACATAATATATATTTAATATATAGTCATTATATACATAATACATACAAAGATACAAGAAAATTATAAACGCATTATATACAGAAAATATACTGAATATATAGTCATTATATATACACAGAAAACATACATAAGATATACAGAAAAAAAAAAAACCAATATAGTCATTATATACGAAATATATACATAACATATACGGACATACGTTATATACATCAAAGAGTTGTCCGATTTGGCCACAACACCATATCCAGGCGTCGGGTTGTCACACGTGGCTTGGCCGCCCTCGACCGAAATCCACCAGCCCGCTTGTCTTCCTCTCCGCCCATGGTCGTCTCCCGTCAGCGACCAGATCCGAGGTTCGACCGTCAGGTGTTGCTCCACCGCGGGTTAATGAGCCACAAACGATGGTCTCTCGCTCGATCTGTGATCGTCGCTAGTTCGAGGTCCGATTTGCTCGTTTTCTCAAATAATCATCCCTACCAAGCGGTACATGTGAACTACGAACGATTTGACTGAGTCCGGCACATAGCTGGGGTCGTTTCCTCCGGCGGCAGAATCGCCGGTGATGGGTTGATCGAAATTGTAAGCTACGGCCATTTTTTGCGGTGGTGGAATTTTGGGGTGCTCCGTCGGGGGTTTGGGATTTTATTTTTGGTTTTTGCCCTAAAAAAAAAGCAAACTGATGCTTTAACTTTTGTGGTAATTAATATTGAAATAAAAACATTAGATATTGTACATTTGCTAATAAGATTTATCTTTCGTATATACACAATAAAAAACTCATAGAGTCGTGTGTGGAGTAAAATTCTCAACAATAACATTATCCATTTTGTGGGCCACACCTATATTATTTTGTTGGGGCGGGCTGGCCCGCGGTCCAGCTCGTTTTTTTATTTTGTTGGGGCGGGCTGGCCCGCAGTCCAACTCGTTTTCTTATTTTGTTGGATTTTGTCTTTATCGTCTTTTTTTTTCTTCTTATTCTTCTTCTTCCATATTTATTTATTTTATATTTTTTAAAATTTGACAATGATATTAAGATTTGTGAATGTACATGAAACACTTTTTTACATAATAAAAATATTAACGAATCAAACAATATTTTATGTGAATTAAGTCTCTAAAAAAAATAAAAATAAAAATTGAATGACAAATATTTAACATCATTACACATGAAACCTTACTAGTTTATTAATATACTAGTAAATATAAAGATAAATAAACCAAAAAGTATATAAGAGTGCATAATACCAAAAAATCCGCGGGCGGGCCGGAGAAATGCGAGCCAGCCCGGGCCGGCCCGACACTGCTATTCCTATTGATAATTAATTCTTCTTTTTCTTTGGGTGGGATGTCAAGGTAGGTAGGCACTTGATAAATCTCGTCTACCAACTTGCTAAAGACTAAATTTGTGGAGAAAATTGCATACATTTTTTATTAGGCTGATTGAATAACAAATATGTTTAGTCCTATAATTTGTAATCTTTGTCACAATATCAAAAATTAAGGAAAAATAACTCAATTTCGTATCGTGTTTATATGTTCACCAAGTGATGTGACACGAGATTAACATACCATACATATTATGGTGTTCAAAGATCTCAAAATCTTAGCACATTATCCATGGATATATCTTAATATGCTTACTTAGAAGAGTGTTTGAATTAATTAGTAATATTGAACAAAAAGTATAAAGGTGNGTACCAAAAAAAAAAAAAAAAAAGTATACAGGTGTCAATTTGATGGGACTAATATTTCTAGCTTCTCCCTTAAAGTGTGAGAGAAATAAAGTGAGTAAAGAGGGGTGGTGTTCCTATTTTGTGCCCCAATCAAAGCTTGCCATTTTCTAACATTATGAGTTTGTGGTCATTCTTATTGTGTAATCATATGACATGATGACACGAGCAATAATAAAATAAAATGCTTCAACTTTGCACAAGGACTTTTAAGATTTTGGGGTAACAATTTGTGGTGAATGGAATAATAGAATCCTAAGCTTCTAGCTCTTTCTTCCACACTTGTCATGATGAACATAAGAAATTATGTGTCAATGAAAAGTGATTATCAATTTTTCAATCATGGTTTGGTTATATAACTCATAATTGATACATTGGTAAGGTACAATTCATTGGTACAACCACCACAAACTTGTTATCTACTATGATAATTTATCTTAATTAGTACTTAAAATTTGTAATTTATTGGAAAAATCATACAAGATAACTAAATATTAGTTAGTAGAACAATATATTAATGCCCACAAAGATAAATTTTACAATTATGGAATGATGTATATCGTATCAAACAATCAACTTGTTTTTTTATAGGGTTCTCTATTAAAAATAAAGGTTACCAGTAAATTTAATCACATAATTTCACGGACAGTGGATTTATAATATTGACGCAACATTATTCAATGGAGATCGTACTTTACCATCTTTGTCAATTCAAATTTAAGTTTAAGAAAAAAATCAATATTGCAAAATAAAGATTGTAGTATCAAAATTGTTTGAATTCAAATATATATATCAAGTTAGATTTTCATAGAATTTGTGGGAATCAAATATTTTAAATTATTAAATCCCAAATTTAATCTTAGTTAATTAAGTTCAGTAGATAATAGCATCCCAAAGGCAATTATTTTAGTGGTTTGAACCAAAACCGTGCAATGGACCAAGGAAAGGAATCAAGTTATTATTAAAATGATTTGTCAACGGTTTGAAATATTATTAACCAGTTTCTAATATTTAGACTTATTAGAGCATCTTCAATGAATTGTTAATTCTAGAAATATAGAAGAAGTTTAATAAAACATATCTTCAATCGTGAATGTTCAGATTATATTCTTAATGACATAACAAGAGAGAAGGAATAAAATCCAGAACTACTTCTACATGTAGAAGTCTTGTTAGACATGATGAGATATATATCTAAATTGAATAAATAAGAGCATGTTTGTTTATGGAATTTTTCAAAAAATTTCCAACATTTTAATCCAACCATTTTTTTTAATTCAACTTTAACTCAACCCCACTATTATCAAAATTATCAATATAATTAAATAATATCAATCAATCATTCATACACACCACATTAACTTTAATTCACTATTCATCCACTCACATTATTTTAACTATCATCACTTCAAATCTACCTCTCCTACTTTTACATCAAATCAATTTTAATTATTTTATTTTAAATATTATTTTAATATACCCACTGAAAACTAACTATATCATATTTTTCAAAATTAACCAAATCAAATCAAAAAATCCAAACAAAACTAAAAATTTTTATAAACAAACATACTCTAAACCACTAGAGACATTTTATGTGTTTGAACATCTATTTCTTCTACGTGAATAGAAAATCGTCTATTTAATTGCCACATATATTGCAATTCATGTTTATCAGTGGAGATGCTCTTAGATTTTAAAACATTTTTCACCCAACCTCAACAAATAGTGAATATTGTCAAAACTTATGGGTCGTGCAGACCAGATACCCATTGAATGAACTGTTCTCAAACTAATATTTTAATTTATCAACACAAATTTGTGAAATTCCACAAATTTTTATAACGTGGATATTTTACTTAGAAACTTCAATTGTTAATTTTGAACTAATAGCTCATAATTAAAAAATTAACTATATAATCAAATTGGTTGTCAAAACTAATTGATAAAGTAGTTGAAACGAAAAATCAAGCATATGACATAAGTTCGAACCTTCTATAAGAAAACCAATTATATAAAATAAAAAATAATTAAAATTATTTATAATTTATAAATGAATGGAATAAGATATAAGCTAACTTATAATGTTTAAAAAATTATTAAAATTCATATATACAAATTTTATACGAGCATGTTAATATGTGCCCACCATCCATGTGTCAGGATCTTGTAATATTTCAATTACAAGTCGTCTTTATATTATATTAATTTTTTATCACATTAATTGGTGGAATTTTAGCTTGTGCGAAGAAGATTGGGTTTATGAATTTCATCACCCAAAAATTGTTTCAATAATTCTATAAGAGAAGGTTTTAATATTAGTTAAAGATTTTCATAATCCCTCCCACATCACGCTTTTATAGTGAGAAATCTAGAAATTCTATTTTGTTTTCAATATTGACCACTTTATTTGCAAAAATAAATTTGAATATTATATATTTGAACTGTTTACCCTATTTATTTATGCGAAGGAAACTAGAACAAAATAACCAGAGGAAAGGAAAAATGGCGCCGTCCATATGAGAGCTCATTCTCTCTCTGTCTCACATACGCGCACACAAAACCTCTCTCTAAAGGCGTTGCTTGCACGATCTCTCTTCTATTTCTTAAGCTTACGAATTTAAAAATCATATCAACAAATGGGTTGCTGAATAAAGAATTTAATTGATTCAAAAGGTGGCGACTTTATCTTGTTAACTTTTTTTTTTCTTTGTTTCTTGATTATTTGTCATTCGAATTTTATTTCTGTTCTAACGGCACTTTTGCTTTCGCTTTCCGATAAAACAGTAGAGAAGAAGAAAAAAAAAGGGGGTGCTTCAGAAAGGAAGGAATTTGATAAAGGTACGCGGGTTTTTGGGTTTTACCTTAATCTCCTTGTGAATTTTAATTTTTGTTGTGGCATATAAAGATTGGATTATTATTATTTTTTTTTTTTGTGCATTTTTAGAATAAAAAAAGGCGAGGATGTTTTGTGATTGTTGATTGATTGTGTTATGTGAATAGGTTGTTTTTCCATCTTTTAACAAATATTTCGAGGAGAATTTGTTATTGGTTTTNGGTTTTTGTATATTGCTCCTTAATTGGTGTGTAGTTTTTTCCTGTTTTTCTGTTTTTAAATCCAGATTGGAGTTCATCTTCGCTTGTAGGAGATGGTTTAACATATAAACATCCTCATTATTTTGAAAGAGAGAAAATAAATCCGTGTTTTGGTGTTATTGCGGCGAACCACTTCTTCATTGTTCGAAGAAATATTCTATGAAAAAAAAAGAAAAAAAAAATCATCCTCTTATATAATATGATAGATTGCTTAATCATCTTTCATATAGTTCCATTTGTATTGTTCATTAAATTTGTTTTGTTTGGAAATGGTATATGAGTCTGATGTAATTATATTTGAAAAAGAGAAATGAATATTGCAGTTGGTGTCATCTTGCTTTCAATATGGACTGAGTTTATTTGTGGAGAAATTATAAACTTGTAACTTGTGTAGTTGTGTTCATAGCAACATGTTACCTTTTTCTTTTTCTCATATTGCAGTTCAAGTTTATTTTTTTGGTATAAGTTTATACGCATCTTTTGTTTTTTGCAGGAATTGATTATTATTTTTTTTCTTTCATTTTGACTTTCAAGTTTCGACTTTTATGGCTGATGAAAGTGAGGATTCACTTGTAACTCCCGACAAAGGAGGGAACTCCATAAACACGAGCAAGAGCGATTCTTGCAGCTCACCGGCAAATTCCCCCTCAAAATCGGATTCTGCTTTCGATAAACGAGAAGTTGTCTCACGTTACCTTCGTGCATCCACTGGATCTTGTCACGATTTCTGTAAATTCGGTAACAAACATTCGGCTGAAGAGAAGGCAAAAAAGCCCCTCAGAAAAAGGATTGCAAAATCTTTACGGGACGAGCCTTTTGTGCAGATAATTGTTCCTTCGGGCGAGAAAAAGAAAGAAAAAATTGTCAAAAGCCACTCATCTGATTTAAACCCAACTCAAAACACCAAATCCTATTCCTTGAAGCCCAACAATACATCATCCTCGGGTAAGAAGGTTTTAAAAAACGAGCCTTTACTGGATACTAAAATCCTCCTCTCTCATGATAAAAAGCAGCCATCCTTCACAAAAACTAAAAAATCATCATGTGCCAAAACTGGTTCTTCCCCAAATGAAAATGGCTCGTCAAAAAGTAAGCCCATTTTCAGAAAGTCCAAATCTTTATTTACCAAGAAAAGTCCCTCCCTCGATCCTCCAGAATTCGTCAAGAGTGTGTGTTTTCCTTCTGCAAACGATGATGACCTAGTTAAGGTTAAACCGGCATTATCTTCTTCTGAAAATTTCGATCTTATACGTGAAAAGGGGATGATAAAGCAAACCGAATCTAGCGTGGGAAGAAAAATGATATCTTTCAGAAAAGAATCTGCAAAGAAAGTATTGGAACCTTCTGCAGACTCGAAACTTCCCGTCATAAAGAGGACTTACAGTAATTCAAGAAAATCTGGAAATGCAAAATCGGTGTCTCGTTCGAAGGACATAAATGGTGTGATGAGAAGAGTTGGTAATAATGAGAAGAAGGGCTCTGAGAAAATCCTGCACGTGATCGACACGAAAAATGTGAATACTGCAACTGAGTCCTCACCAAATGACAATTTTTCATTTTTGTCCTCTCCTGCGGAAGACCATGAGGAGAAGAGGGAGTTCACTAATGGTGAAGAAGCAGATGAATTTATCTCCAAGAAAAATGAGTCCCTTGAGATTGTGAAGAAGAATCATAGTAAGACTCTGAAAAAGTCAAAGTCTTCTGTGTCTGAAGAATACAAGACTCGATCTCCCGTGAAGCTGAAATTCAGAAACGGGAAAATTTTGGATGCTCAGTTGAATAATAATAGTAATGTCCCGAGTAAACTCAGGTTTAGGAAGGCGAGAGTCGTTCGGGATGATGATGAAGGCAAAAGTAGTGATTTGAGGAGAAAATTGTTCAAGACTGATGTTATTAGTGATGGGAAGAGCCGTGAGGAGGTTTCATCTGAAAAGGTTGTCTTAAAAAAGCACCAAGATGTTCAGGGCAAGAAAGGTCATCTAGGTTTGTTTAATAATGTTATAGAACAAACTGCAAGTAAGCTTGTTGAGAGTAGGAAAAGTAAGGTTAAAGCCCTTGTGGGAGCTTTCGAAACCGTGATCTCCCTCCAAGAGAGTAAACCTTCTCCGCAGGCTGTGTGAATTGAGTGTCAAAATATAATCTTCTTGGTTGGTTTTTCTNTTAATATTTTTTGACGTGTCATTTTTTCCTTTTTTTTGGTACAAAGAAGGAGGCCAAGGCCTAATAGTTAATCTGGGACTTGTCGAGGGTAGCACACCCCGATGATATCGTGCTCGAGCCAGCGACCCAACCCAGGTGGCGGAGTAGACACCACCTCAAGTCCGATCGGAAAAGTTGCTGCCAAGCTAGCCATATGATCTGCCGCAAAGTTGGCTTCTCTGTGCACATGCCGAATCTGAATGGTCCAATCCCTTTGACTCACGTCGCGTATTGCCTTCACGATTGACTCGTGTGCCCCAAAATTATTTTCAGTTCCAAGGATCATGTTTACGGCGCATAGACTATCGACCTCCGCTATAACTTGGCGGTATCCTTTCTCCCAAGCGAGATGTAGTCCCTGATAAAGCCCCCATAGTTCAGCACCCGTAATAGTGCAATATCCAATATTCATGATGAATCTCGAAATCCACCCACCTGAAGAGTCTCTTAATAAACCACCTGCACTGCTCAAACCGGTGGAGTTGTCGAAAGCCCCGTCGGTATTGATCTTTATCCATCCCGAGTCAGGTGGGGACCAATGAATTAATCTAGGCATGGTCTGCTTCAGATCGGCCCCAGCTACAGCGTACGCTTCCGTTGTGCGTAAATAATTTTCCATTCGGCTCAAAACCTCCAATCGACGGGCCTCGCAGCTCATTGTTTTGTGATTAAAAATTCGGTCGTTCCTCCAGTTCCACGATCTCCAAATCGCCCAAGAGAAAAGGCAACTCCAATTCCGAATGTTCCCCATGCGTGGCTTAGTTAAGTTTTTGAAGAGCCAATATATAAGGGGTTGTTCAAAAAAATCATGTATATGAGCGACCGGGAGTAATCGATCCCAAAGGCTCCGAACGAAAGGGCAATCTCTGAGCACATGAAGTACTGTCTCACTTACGCCACAAAAGCCACATTCATCCGAGATGGAGATGTGTCGCCGATATCGCTCATTATTAGTGAGAAGGCGTTCTTTAGCAGTGAGCCACAAAAATTGACGTACTCGTTGAGGTACCATAGTCCGCCATATTATCCTCCAAAGGTTTGAAACAGGGAGTCTATCCGGGCTTGAGAGTGAGTCGTAGGCAGTTTGTGTCGAGAAACTGCCATCGTGGGACCATCCCCAAATAATCCGGTCATCTCCAGACATTGCTCTCGGAGGTAGAGTTGCAGCGAGACGGAGGAGGACAGAAGATGGGAGGTGCTTTTGAAAAAGGTCCCATGCCCAGTCACCATTTTCACCAACAAACTCCACTATTTTCTTCGATAAATTCTTCTCTTGTGGATAGGTGGTGGTAAAATTAATCAAAGGTCCTGTCATCCCCAACCATGGGTCCAGCCAAAATCGAATCGTTTCACCATTCCCAATTATCCATCGCACGCCTCGAATCACATGAGGCCAAATTTTATTAATTGCTCGCATTAGAGGCGAGCTTTGTCGACGAGAAAGACTCTCTGAGCTTGTCGAGGGATTAATATCATACTTTGCCAGAAGGACCCTCACCCATAATGTATCTTGTTTTGTCAAAAGACCCCATCCCAGTTTCATCAGAAGTGCATTATTCATATGACGGAGGCTTTTAATGCCCAGCCCTCCCTGTCGCTTTGGTCGACACACGTCTTGCCAAGCGACTAGGTGAATCTTCCGTTTTCCTTTGGTTCCACCCCACACAAAGGCCCGGCATCTTTTTTCTAGGTCATCGGTAATTCCACAGGGAAGCAAGGCGGATTGCATCGCATAGAAAGGCAACGTGCTAAGAACAGACTGAGTGAGAGTCGTTCGACCCGCCAAAGAGAGCGATTTCATGCGCCACCCGGATAGTCTGGACTCCACTTTTTCCAGGATATGTGCATACGTATGCTTTGTTACGCGCCCATGGATCATAGGCATGCCCAAGTACTTACCCAAATTATCCGTGAGTGTGAAATTTAAAAGGCCTGCAAGTCTGGCTTGTTCCTGGTGATGCACAATATTTGAGAAGAACACTTGCGTTTTTTCTGAACTTATTTTGAGACCCGAAGAGCCACAAAATATATTCAGGACTTGCTTGAGGATACTAACCTGATCATCAGAGGCCTCCATGAAGAGTAGCAAATCATCCGCAAACATTAAAAAAGGTATCGTGACAACCCCTCTTCCAATAGATATAGGTCGCCACTTTCGGTTCTCGACCGTACTGCTAATAATTTGCGCTAATCTTTCCATGCACAACACGAATAAATAGGGAGATATAGGGTCAACTTGACGAACTCCTCGAGTAGGCAGAAATTCCTCACAAATACCTCCATTCCACAAAAGATTCATAGAGGCCGAACGAACACTAGCCAACACGAATAAATGAAGGATGGTTGTTAAATGTGTAGATGTTGATATATTTTGTCAATGGGAGTAAATATTTTGCTATTTTCTGCTTTTGATTGGTTGTTTTTGGTCTTGTGAAGCTTCTTGGATGTGTATTATTATTATTACAAATTTTGGTTTGTCTCGTTCCAGTTCGACTAAAACTTATTTTTTATTAATCAACCGAGCTCGACAGATTATTTGGCTTATATGTACAACATTTTAATAAAAAATATTATAAATAGCATACAAATTTAAATGGAGTTTTTAAAATGATTTTAGTAAATAAAAATAGAAATAAAAAATAAAAACACTTCACTCACAGAAAGAGAAGGCAACCTATGTTTATAAAGGCTAAACAAATGGCTAATGCATTACTGGATGAACAAATAGGTTTCCAAACAAAATCAATTCCCAACTTCTTTTTCATCATTTTACAGTATTTCACCTGCCAGACGACGTCGTTTGGGGGATATTTTTCTCAGAAATTCCTTTTTTTATTTTTAATTAAATAAAGATTTTTTGGCTTCCCTTTACCTTGCATTTTCCTCTCTTCCCCTCTGTGGTAGGGTAGGCTTCATTCCTGCCGGATTATTACGCCGACCCCTCCTCCAAAAGTTGGTCTCTTGTGCAAAGTCACTGTCCTTTTGAGGTAAAGCTTCATTTTTTTCATAGCTTTTTTCGACATATTTCACTTGGGCTGCCTCTGGAATTCAAGTTTCGTGTGCTTGTGCTAAAGAATGCAAGGCAATAAAAATTGCATCTTTCAGCACTTAGTTCGGATATGATAATGTCGGACGTGATGTACATAGGTTCTCACATTTCTATATGTAAAACTACCCGCCAAACTCAAACTTATTGCTGTTCAAGAAAACGTGACTTTAAACCCCATTTACAGTCCGTCAGTCGCTTTAGTTTTGGATTCGAAGTGAAAATTTTAAATCATAAGTCTTCACGAATAAAAAGTTTCGAGCTTGCATCGGTTTGTGAGGCGCAGAGTGTGTCGGTACAAAAAGGAACAGAAGGTGTTTGTGAAAATTACTCACAGAGCACACTGCCTCCTTGGGGTGATTTATCCGATCAAAATTCAGAGTACAAAAATCGTTTGGATTTTCATTCAGAAACATCCGTAAATCCCGTCTGCACGTTTGAGGACGAGATGTACTATTTGGAGGAAAGAGATGAACAGATACTATCAAACAGGATTTTAAAACTCAGCAGGTCGAATAAAATTCGAAGTGCATTGACATTGTACCGGTCGATGGTGTTTTCCGATTTACTACCTAATTCACACGCTTGTAATTCACTTCTTTACTGTTTGCTGAGAAATGAAAGATTAGACGATGCCCTGAACGTGTTTGATTTTATGAAATCGAGAGATATTGCCACTGGCCACACTTACAGCTTGATCTTAAAAGCAGTTGCTCGGTTTCGCGATAGTGATGCAGCTTTAAGGATTTTTGAGGAAGCCGAGCAGAACAAGAAAACCAAGAAATGTCTCGATACAGTTGTTTACAATACATTGATATCAATATTTGGGAAAACAGATGAGTGGGCCCGGGCTGAAAGAATATGGAGAAGTTTGCAAGAAAACGGGCCGAAAGGAACAGCTGTCACTTACCGTATATTGATCTGTACATTCGTCCGATGTGGTCAGAACGAGCTAGCTCTCGATGCATATCGCGAGATGATTCAAAATGGGCTGGGCCCGCATGAGGACGCCATGCAAGCTATTATTGGGGCTTGCACTAGAGAAGGCAAATGGGATTTGGCACTAAACGTTTTTCGAAACATGATGGATAGTAAACTTAAGCCGAGCCTCATAACATGTAATGCCTTACTCAACTCGCTCGGGAAAGCATCCCGAGTGAAGCTCGCATTCGAGATATATAATCTTATGAAATCTTTAGGATATTCGCCGGACGCGTACACTTGGCACTCGTTGATTGGTGCTTTGAATAGGGCGAACAGATACGCGGATGCCCTTCGGCTTTTCGAAAGCATCAGAAAAGAGCAAAAGGAGGTTTTAAATGTACATATTTATAATGCGTGTTTGATGTCTTGTCAGAGGCTGGGGCTGTGGGAAAAGGCCGTGGAGATAATATGGGAGATGGAAGTTTCTGGTTTTCTTGTTTCGGTCGTGTCGTATAATCTTGTTATTGGAGCTTGTGAGGTTGCGAGAAAGCCAAAGGTTGCTCTGCAGGTTTATGAACAAATGGCTATGCAAAAGCTTTCGCCGGATGTGTTTACTCGGCTGTCGTTGGTAAGAAGTTGTGCGTGGGGTTCGCTTTGGGATAAGGTTGAGGAAATCCTAAAGGTAGTTTTTT